ATAATTATATATTAAAAATATTAGGTGTTTTTAAGTACTTAAATAAGACTTATATAATTTACTTTATGCTTTAAACTTAAGACTTATTATAAATATAATTAAATATTTATATTATTATACGTTTATAAGTATTTATAGGGTACTTATCTTTATATTAGGTTACTCGTAGTATACCTAAACCACTTACATGATAAAATAGGTAGCCCACGAATAACCCAAGAAAAACTTGGATACCCACGGGTGCCCACGGGTACCCGTTTTTACACTCTAGCCGGATCCGTCCAGCTTGACGATCCATGTACAGGTGCCGAGACCAGTGCCAATGCCAATTGTTGAGTCATTGCAATCACCAGGGTTAGTCACAAGTGCGGTACTGACTGTTGGACATTCTGCGGGACCATACGCGTTGATGGTTGAACGAGTAGACAGCTCCTTTACGACCGCGACCTTCCGCGGTTCGCCGCCAAAGTGTATGGTGCGAAGGATAGCAGGAAGCTCGGAAGCGCGAAACCAAGCGACCGAGGGGGTGAGTATGGCGTAGTTGACCTGATACTCGCGGAGTGCCCTTGGAAGGTCTCCCTTTGGTTCGTCGTCTGAAGGAATACAGAGGCAACCCCTGATGGTCAATGAGTGTATCAAGTTCCACCAAGATGCATCGAATGCATAAGACGCGAAATCAAAGACTCGGTCGAATTCTCTGAAATCAAGACGCTCTTGCTGGTTCAGGACCGCACCGATGCAGTTGGCATGTGCGATAACAACGCCTTTAGGAATACCCATGCTTCCCGATGTGAACACAATGTAAAGCCAAGCCGAGGGATCAACCGTGGGAAGGGTAACAGGTGAGGCAGCAGGCCAATGCTGACTTGAGTGGTAACTCAGAATGAACTGAACACTTCCCAGGCACAATTCCCTGGCGTGGTCTGCGTATCCCGGAGAGGTCAAGATGGCTGCAGGCTGCACTAGCTTTGAAATAGACTGGTGTCTCTGCAATGGCAACCCTGCATCGAGCACTGTCGAGGCGCACCCGCATTTCATGACTGCTATCTGGGCAACTGGAACCCACAAGGACTTCTCAATCAAGACAACTATGATGCTACCAGTCCGGATGCCTTGACAGATTATGCCGTTGGCCAGACGAGTTGAGAGATCATCCAGCTCGCGATAAGTCATTTCGCCGTCTTGAGCCGAAACGGCAAGAAGATTAGGATGCTGCTATGCCCTCTTTATGAATGCCTCATGAATAGAGACATTATCGACGCTCCATGGAGCTTGGGAATTCCAAGCCCAGATCTATTAGAGGTTCTAAACGGAACCGACCCTTGGGTTAATAAATGGCATTTCGACGCTATCTAGCGAGCAGATTTTGCTAATAATATACTCGTACTGGCTCACAAGGCACAGTAGCGAGGCCTTATCCGAAGTCTCATCAAGGTCAACTACCCAAGCACGGACTCTTGCTGTCTGTGCACGGCACTTAAGCGCCGTGAGAACTAAACTTTTTTTGAGTAATAGTTACGAGGAAAGTTTCTTTATATCCCCGTTCCTCGGTAGTTGTGTACTCTTCGTGTATGTCCAAAAAAGCAGGCTCAGCTGTAACTACTAGAGAGTCGATTTTATCTTGAACTTGGCGAGCAACTTCTCTTACTCGCGATTTCTATTGGATGCCTATGTTAAAAGAGTCAATTAATTCGCCAGATACTGATCCGAACATGCTAAATTTGACCGGGACTCCGTGTGAAGAGAGGAGGATGGCCCAAGCAGCACACCCCTCGACAATTGCTGGAGTTCCAGAGCCGAGTCCTTCAATGGCAAGATCGAGTAAAGCGTATCGTTCTTCTCCACATTTATGAGATATAGTAGTTGATAAAGCCCCGACTAGCGATGGACTTTCTGCTGGGCTAAACCACTTACCCCGACACTTGCAAGGTCGTGTGATAAGGACTTGGTCATGATGTGAAAAGAGTTATTTCAAGGCACACTCACTTAATAGAAGAATGCTGGTTTAAAAAAAAACTAGAAATAAAGAAAAATAAGACTGTTTCTTAGACGCTCTCTTAATGAGCTAGTTCACGGGTTCAATATATCATTAAATATACGGATTATCATAACAGCTATTGGTGACTTCATTTTTATGGCTTTAGAAGAGGCTCCAATGAGAGGTATGGTTGCATCTATTACTACAAAACAACGGGTGTTAAGATATTCGTGGCCATAAAACGGTGCTCCCAGGCGTTCAAAAAGCGTCTCCGTCCCAGATGCAGCGCGCCGTAAAAGGACGAAGTCCGACGCCACCAAAGGCCGGCATGGCACACCACCAGCGATTGCTTGTGACGATGTATGTCGACGACCTGCCTAATTGGAACATCCGAAAACGTTGAGAATTAGTATTAATCAGCAACACGCGACTCCCCGGGTATGATCGATCATATTGTCCTATCTACCCCTCAAATAGCCCAGACTTCAAGCAAGATATAAGAACTGAGAAAGCTAATCAATGGCCTATCTGCACTCGGCGTGTTAGACACACCATATAATAGCATAGAACGAAAGTGCGGAGGCCTCTCGGAGCATGATAAAGGTGATGTATCCAACTGAAGCTCTCTCAATGAATATGGCTGAGCTAATTGTAGGGAAGCGCCGTCACTTCTTTCTGTCCTTGGAAAAAGATTAAGCGCCGCCATGGGAACCCAGTCGAATAAATTGAGCGAGCTGAGCCACTAGGCTCGATCGATCAAGCTCGCAGAGCAAACAGACCAGAGAGAACACGCTTAGAAGGTGCATTGGAAGTAAAAAAAACAGGCTAAAGAGGATGGCACGTACGGCCATATACATGGGACTGGTAGCCAAGTGCCAAGTCCCTTGTCACGGAAGGTCATACACGCTGTCAGCCGACATGTCTGCATATGCGCCTACCTGAAGTCGTTGGTTGCCACGACCGGTTGGTGTGTATTCACAAAGCCACATGATGCTACGCTGATTCGGTCCGTAATTCGACTCGACTTAAGCACGTGCGTGGCCATGGACAGAATACGAGACAAAGACCAACCACTGAACAAAACACGAGCCTCCACGACCACGCCGAGACAACTGCTTGCATCCTCACAAGACTATTATCACTTTGTATCGACGCTATGGATCAGTTGGTAAGGCTGTTTTATATGGCGACTCTCCTTTACTCAAAACCCAGAGGCCGTGCATGATCGAGTCAGAATAGACGAAAAGTATTCCGCTATGCAACTGTAGGTTGGAAGCCGGGCCTGAACAGGTAATAAGAGACGTTCGCGGGTGCACGGGAGAGTTCACTCTTTGGTAGCAGGGCTTCAGATTTCAATCCTAGTCTTCCTCAGAGATAGAGTGGGAAGATGAGAGCCAGATCTCGCAGTCGTATCCTCCCGAGACGAAGGAGTTACTTCGTCAAGAGCTTAAGCTTAAAGATTCTTTTAAAGGGTGCGAGGTCTTCGACTGGCGTGTGGGTAACTATATCCTATCCACGTGCGGTGAAAAGAGTTCTGACTGATGAAAAAAAGCCTTCGAAATAGCGGATCTGAGCAGAGACTCACTAGTATCGACAAGGGTCGAAATGAGAAAATTAGGCCAACTGAGGCCGTGCACATAGGTAAGTGTTTCTCTGCAGGCAATATGTCTGCAGGCTTTTCGGGCTGACACGAAAGAATACCAAAGCTCGGCCGGAGCCTTTGACCGGCTGGATCTCCTTTTGCACAAGGAGGAATTTAAAGAAGTGGCTGTAAAATACAGGGTGAAAATCTTCAAGTAGGAGCTCCATCTCGTCTCCGTCCTCAGGATTGATCGTTTCTCAGCGTCTGGCGGCCTATTAGGGGCGTTATCGAACACTGGCCACTTGGCATTTGTGACGCGAGCACAATGACAATGGGTGATCTGGATGAGTTGGAGTATGTCACCGTGGAATTCGTCCGAAAAAGCTATTTGGTCAAGTGGAGTGAACGGTTCTGATTTTACTATCTTAGCAAAATTGCTAGCCAAGAGGTTTGCATCTTCAAGATATTTGATTCGGCTTACCGTGCCCCACGGGGTAATACCCGAAAACATTGCACTGGTAAGCCACTAAATTAAAATGAGAATACTGTATGCACCAATTAATATAATTTAGTGGCATGTCCCCGCCTCGGAAGAGTATTGAGGTGCGAGTGTTTGTATTTCCAGAAGATGCGTGACGGAGTCTCTCTCGCGCTCTCGCTCTTTCATTGTTTCTTACCTTCTGTTTCTGTTCCCCCTTGTTACCTCAGATTGCCTAATTGCGTTATTCTCGCGTTACATTGAGTCATGAGGCTGGTCCCGCAGAGTTGTGTAAAGGGTTAGCAGCTAGATTGAGCATAATAGACCCACTGCATTTTGTCTATAACTTCTTGCAAGACACGTAAATATCAAGGCTTCTATTGAAGAAAATTTGCTTCATCTAAAGTCGCCACAACCACATACCACTGTTCCTATGCTTCGATAATCTAGGTAGTTGCGTGGCTAATATAAACGGGATGAAAATGCTAGTTAATAAGAAAATTCTCGAAATAGCTTAAAACTCTATTAGAATTACTTTTACTAAGTTACGCATAAAATTGAAATGCTTTGTAGCTACTTTTAGATAAAAGTATATAACTCGAATGAAACCGACAAATCCGACCCTCTTCCTCTCAGCAATCTAACCCTGGACAGACGCAGGGCGAAACCCGGGTCCTGATGCACCCCAAATGCCATGCAGTCCGAAGAGACCCGACGTATGAACTGACCTGTTTGGCAATTCCCAAAGAAATTAGTGACGGATCACATTACTCTTCATCAACTGCTGCACTGTCCATGTCCGAATGAAACCGCTTGCTACCGTGACGCAGGCCATCAGCATCGCCATAACTGCAAATGGGAGGCCCATCCTATCCCACCCCAGCTCTAAACCCTTTACCAAAAGCGCACTTACGACGGGTGCTGTCACGCTCCTCGAGACCATGCTTAGCATGAGTGCGGCGCTATAGACCGTGCTCACCTGGTTCGGGCGCACGACTCCGCCCAACAAACTCATTAACAACCCCGTTGTGCAGATGCCGAGCGCCACCAAGGAGCCCGATAACCACGACGGCCAAAACTGGTGCAGGGCCGATTACCATCGGGCCTAATGCCGCCGCGGCGATGGACGCGATGGCGTATAGGCGGTCGCGAGTCCAGTCGGTCCAGCCGCGCAGCTTAGCAATGGTACGGTTGATCAAGGGGAGGAGCACTAGTACGAACAGGCCTTGCGCACCTTGAAAAAGGGAGAGTAGTACGTTACCGCGAGCGCAAGAGAGGGAATACTTTGCTTTGGAGTATTGTAGGCCTGTTACGGTAAAGAGCTCTCGGGCTGAGGCCTGAGGGGCGAATATGGCAAGGAGCAACAGGCATTGTCGATTTGTTCTCAGCAAGCTAACAAGAGGAGCTAGTATGCTGGAGATTTTGAGGAGCAAAGAAATTGTCTCGCTGGTGGACTCTGACGATGTAGTAGAGCGTTGTGAAGATGAGGTTTTGGGTTGTTGACATGTTGAATCAACATCAGATGGGTTATCGTAGGTCCCGTTTGTCAAGTGCTGTGTTTCTGGGATGAATTGGGCAAGTATAAAAGTGCCAAAGAGCACGACTTCAGCCAGTACGAGGACGGTCCAGGGATGCCCCTTTTCCATCAACCAGGCGCTGATTGCAGGCCCAAAGAAGCCCGAAAGCACGTCGGCCGCGTGGACATGCAAGAAGATTTGCGCACGTTCGGCCCGGTAGGTAGCGTCAGTAACCATGACATGGAGCATGCTTGAGGTGACGGCGTCGCCGCCGCCAATGAAGAGGAACATTCCCGAGAACAGAACCCAGCGGATCGGAGCGAATCGCCAGGAGCATACAGCCATGATCCAGGAAAGCGCGGCAAGGATGCCAGCACCGCGGAGGATAGCACCGTCTTCGCCTAATGTGCTCCGCTAGCAGGCCGTATAGCACGGTGCAGAGCAGGCCTGGTAAGAGAGGGACCGGATGCTGGAGGCCACGCACCAGAACAAGCTCCTTTTGCACAGGCTGGACTTGACATTGATGGCCAAGCGACGGGATTGGGGAGGTGATGTTTGACACTGACACTTGCATAGAAGGCAACGACTGCGTCTGGTAATAGTCGTTACAGATGATTGCCTCGTAGATTTGGATAACGGCTGCTAGCTGCAGGTTGTCGCCAAGCATCATGGTGAAGGCAAAGAGGTAAAGGAGCTTGACTATGCGCTGTCTTTATTTGGGCGGTATGGCCTGCCGTGTTTCGGATGAGACAGATGCATCGACAGTCTCGATGCCATGTCAAAGCAGGCGCGCCGACTCGGGAACATTGGGTGATTCATCATAGTTCTCGGCAGTGTCTGCGGGGGCCATGATTCCTGCAACGCCAGGGTCAACAACAGATGGACTGATGGATGCTAGGGGGAAAACAGCCTTTTGCCGGCGCGGCCCGCGAGCCGAGTTGTTTGGCCGGGGGGGGGGGCGGGTCTAGGCAGTTTCCGAGGTCGCACACACCTCTGGATTATTAGCCCATGCCTCTACGGAGTAGATGGAGAGAGGTTATCTAAAAGATGGTGACGACGATCCAGAAGCTAGAGGCACTCCGGGGGAAAGTTTGAAAAGTGGGAATACGGGAAAGTTCTGGGAAAGGGCAATTGAGGGGGCTGTTATGACAATGTCAATTGGCATTAGTTATTATGAAAATGGACGTGGCCACGCCACAGTATTTTGTGTGTCCCCCCCTTATCCTCTGCGACATACTCCGTAAAGTGTCCCCAGTAATAAGTTATTAGTACCCAGTGCCTCATTTCACCATGTAACGTGACCGAGTCCACTTTTCCTCCCAACAGGGCGCCCCACACGGCGATGTGTGGTTTGTGGCTTGCTGACAGACTAGCTTGCCAGTTTCATTATAACCAGCAATGTTGGGCCAAAGTATACAACAGCTGATCGGCTCATGCTGTTATACTCTAGTTTTCCACGTCGATTATCCTGCTTCAAGCAGCCGTTTACACCATATTTGGTGTCCGCATTGGGGGCAAACCCTGTGTGTGAGTCGGCGATGTGCGTCAACCAAGTAGCTTCTTGTGTGCTGTTTTTATTCCGTCTTGAAATTCCGCTACACATTAGCTTATATAATCGTATCTGTAAGATGCGAGGTCTTGCTTCCCAAGGAGCTTTCCTTTGCTGTCAACAGGTGGTTTGCTTCCTCATACAAGTTGGGCGGCGCACGAGTCGTGCAAAATCCACGCCCACCGGATCTAAAGTGCTTTGCACTACAGTAACATATGAATGCCATGGCAAATCGTCTGAGTCAAGCATGCATTGCCCAGACTCTGAGTTCCACGGAATTCTAGATGAGTCGTGCGAATGGCGGCGAATGGGAGCCCAAATCCGTCGCTGGCCACGTGGATCTTTATCTGAAGGCACGGGTGGGGGTGCATCATGTAATTTTCGAGCGTTATGCAGCTGTCTTGGCTATCGAACTGGGGAAATTGGATAATGCGAACTGCCCCCAGCGTTGTGTGGAGCTCCTTCAATCATCTGGTACCGGATAAGACCCCAAACCTGATGTCAACGAGCAAATTGCATGTGCCCTAGGGATCAATAGGCAAAGCGGACATCGAGAGACCCGGAGCCATCAAGTGCTGTCAATGCTACATGTGGTAATTTATTAATACTAGATTTCAAGGTTCACGATACTACACGTGAGCGGCGTTTTCTTATCAACTAGTTATTAAAGGGTATTTCTTTATAAATTATTTGAAAGCTAAAAAAGCGCTTATATTATATATTTATTAAAGATGTACAGCGGGAAGCTGTAATCCTCAGCTTATCGACTGCCAATGCTTCCAGGCTCTATTCACTCTACCCGACCAACAATTTTTATCCCTCTTTGCCAAACTACGTGCTACGAGCTAGATTCCTCCTCGTGGGATGCCTGTTGAATGTAACATTGAAAACAAGGCCCACCTTGACTGTAACTTCAAGATGGATATTGCATCGTTTCATGAAAACATCTGCGCACATTGCCCCAGTCCGCACATTCATGGCTTACTCGCTTGGTGTGCACGGTGGTGCCCTGGGCTATATCGACGGCTTTGCACAACCAAGATATATCCAAGATATATAACGCGAGTAATCCCTAGAGCAACCTATTCATCCCACCCAAGCTTTTTTCACTCTGCATCTAGTGTCTATATCTTGCAAGACAATTTTCCTACCACCTCACTCTCGACATCATGATAAAATTATTCTCGGCTATTCTGGCCCTGTCCGTTAGCCTTCATGCGCATATGATCCAGCGAGATAAATCTGACTCTACGGATCGCAGTCAAGATGTAAAGGCAACGGGCACCAAGTTCGTTCATCCAGGTATATTCGTTGACAGGTCCCAGCTGCGGCGCATGAGATCAAAGGTCCAGGCCGGGGAGCATCCATGGACTGATGCCTACACTGCCATGATGAAGCATCGTTATGCCAAAATTACAGCTCCTATGCCACACAAAAATGTCAAATGTGGTGCTTATTCGAAGCCAGACGACGGGTGCTCTGACGAACGATCTAATGCCATGGCAGCCTACCTTAACGCTTTAGCTTGGTTTACACATAAAGACCAATCCAAGGCTGACCTCACCATCTCTATTATGAACGGCTGGGCAAAAACTATCAAGCAGCATACTGGGGATAATGCCCCCCTTCAAGCTGCATGGGCTGCTTCCCTTTGGGCCCGAGCAGCGGAAATCCTTCGATATTCCGGCGCTGGGTGGACATCGGACGATATTGAGTCTTTTAAGAGAATGCTTAAACATGTGTATCTCCCAATCGTTAAGCATGGATCTAAGAAGCCTAATAACTGGGAATTAAGTAAGTATCTTCACTCTCCCTATATAGTTTGCTTATACAACTAATTAAAAGTAATATAGGTCTTATGGAAGCAAGCATCTCTATTGCGGTTTTCTTAAATAATAGGACTTTATATGAGGATTCCTTAACACGCTTTATTAAAGCTGCAAGCTATTACATCTATCTGAAGAAGTACGCCAAGAAATATGTGCCCATTCTATTTTTACAGTCATACTTACAAGTTCTTTCTATAGAGATGGCTCTGAACCAAAGAGGCCACAAGGAACGACTAAAGAGACGCTGGTAAATTGGTGGCATGGCCAAACAAAATTCTTGGAAAACGGAATACCTATGGAGGCTTGTCGAGATCTTATGCACTCAAGTTATGGTATTGCCTCAATTAGCCATGTAGCCGAGACTGCGCGAATCCAGGGAAGAGACCTATACTCTGAGGATACTGGCACACGCTTGAGATACGCACTCGAATTCCTCACAAAGTACGATACTAAGAGAGGGTCCACGAATCCACCAGCCTGGCTTTGTAATGGTACGCTTGATAAGAATATTAAAGATATGACTGAGCCCGGATATAGCGTTCTAGGAGAGAAGTATAAAATGAGGAACACTAGGAATTTTACTGGAGCTGCACGGCCCTCACACCCAGATTCCTTGTTCATAGCGTGGGAGACTTTAACGCATGCTACCGGGGAAATATAAATTAGTTGTCTGTTTCTAGTCACGCCGCATGTAAGTCAGTCTGTCGAGAACCGTGTGATGGCCAGGTTTTCAAGGGACAAGCCAGGCAGGTTTGACATTGGCAGAATTGCCGAACCGCTAGAAAGACTTTTCGTGTATGAAACTTCTTGGCCATGCTAGTTGCCTGCCGCTAGCCTAGTTTGCGTTGAACTAAACCACGCTGTAACTCGGGTGAGGAATGATAGTCGTTGGGTGGATCAGGAATCAACGTCTCGCTTAGCGGAAGAAGATTGTGGCGGAACAGCTCTTATCTGCTACTGTTCCTAGCATTCCCATTTTCAACATTATCACTTTGCAGAGCCTCATCCGGCAATGCCTCTGGCTCTTCAACCCATCGCCTTCTGCCGCTCGGCTGCTGCGTTTATGTCTTCCTGTTGACGCGCATTTCGTTCAAGGGGCGCAACTTCCACTAGGTCGACAATTTGGCCTCTTTCAATCTCAAAATAGCTTGAGAAATATTTCAAGACGGCAATACTTTGCCGTTAAGATGTGACCTAACACTACTTGGTTAGTAAAACAGATTTGGGGCCGTTACCAGGTCCATAGATTGCAGAGCTCAATTGAAAGATACAAACACAAAGCAAAGTTGCCACACATTCTTATCAGACTCATAATATTGAGGAATACATGCGCAAGAGCTAGGCACCCCATAAAAGTCTACAAACATTTTGAAACGCCGCCTGAATTCTTGTAACCTGCCAAGTTTTATTGATTTGAGCTAATTGGAAAGACATACTAAGTACAAAGAAGGATAAATAAGGGGGGCCAAGGGGGTCACGATGTTGGACCTCAACGATGGGCTGAGGAACCCGTGGCTTGTGATAATGCGCCGAAACCCAACGGCCACTATTCACTTGGTGGTAAATCCAATTGAGTAGTTCTAAGCACAGTCACAGGTCAAAATATTCTGGTCGGCCTGGCATCCAATCTTGGTGTATCGCGCGTCGGACAAGATATCTGCGTGTCCAGTCTGGCCCATATGGTTCCATCCTCTGCCTAGGTCGCCGCTGCAGACGCTGCGGTCTTTGAAACGCCATGAAGTCTCGCAAAGCCATCCACCTACCAACGCCCTTTCGAAAGAGCTAAGATCGCCCTGCGCCATAACCTGGGCCATGGTCCCCGGGAACATCTTATGCTTAAGCTGTCCATCGCTTTCCTGACTCGCTTTGAGAGCATTACTCTCCAACTTAGGGTCATACTGCAGCTGGCGCAACCCACAAGCATCCATCCACTTGTTGACGATTTTCATATAATCAGGTCCGTTGCCGCCAGGCGGGGCCTGGGTAGCGGTTGGGGCGGGAGAGACAGGAGGCACTCCTGGCGTTGGCACAGGCTTGGTGGGAGTCGGATCCTGTGGGGGTGATGGTGGTGTATTGTCGTCGGGATCACAAGAATCATCGCCGCCGTCGCTACCGGGTTGGTCATTGCCGGGCTTGCCATTCCCGGGCTTATCAGGACCAGGGCGTGGCCAATGCCAATCTTGCCCATGCCAATCTGGCCATTTCCAATTTGACCATTTCCAACCTGGCCGTCCCCAGACTGAGTTCCGCTCGTCAAAACTTGGCCAACTCCTTTCTGAAACAACAGTCTTTGTGTCACGCTCTCCAGGAGGACTTCGAGGCATAGCGCCAACAAGTGGCAGCACAGTAACAAGAAGAGAAGTTCGCATGTTGAAAGAATGTGAAATATAAAGGAATGTACAGAAGGTAAACGGAAAGAGAGGCTTGAGCAAGCGAGTATCTTGAGATGTCTTAAGTTGGGGCAGGTCGGGGCAGGTGCTAGTTTATGTATTATATACGTCTTTTGCATCCTCTTCTCTCATGTAGTATACGCTGGGGTTCCTTGGAGACAAGTACACCTAGTTCTCACGTGGAATATCTTGGCCAAGGCCGTAGCTCGTTTATGCTGCTGCTGCTACTATGCTATCCAACCTGGAGATTAAGAATAGTCCTTCTCTATATTGCATATCCCGGCTCCATGTCTTCTACGCAGTCGAGCGCAGATATAAGGGACTCCCAAATTTTGGTCGATCCACATACATGTTAAAGATTCATGCGACTGGAACACTACCTTGCAGTTCTCCATGTTTTCGTTAACCATGCAATCCAACCTCGACCTTGCTTGGCGTGTCCAAGGGCTGTTGTTTTTTATTCAATTTCATGAACAAATGGCGCCGAATTGTCGGCTTCAAACTCCCTAAATCCAAGGGCAAGGTGGAGCAGACTGTGTTTGATAATGACCCTGTAATTTCGACGTTCCAAACTAACATTGTTTTCAACACGAATGCTCGATGACAGAACCGGGCTATTCGCCATAATCGGCAAATGTTCGTTATTCTTCTGGGGACCGCATGAATAACTCCACCCACACGACTTTTCATCCCAACGTCGTTGGCCATACCCCGGAAGCCATCCACTACGGTAAGGTACGCGATTAGCCAACAGGGATGGCTCAATAACGCACGGTAAAGAATCAGATCTGTGAGCTCTGCGTATCCCCCGCAGCTCAGATCAATAATAGTACCAGCCAAAGCCCTCTTTGTGCAAAGGCATCGTGAAGACAAGTGCTATTCTACCTGCTGAGATATGCCAGTTGACTCAGGTAACTCACCGATTACCTATGGAGATTCCTGCCTACGGACAGTTCCTTCTGAGTAGGGAACCTGAAGGTGGTCAACCTAGGGTCCTCAAAATTGCGCCGATGAGCCGAAAGGGCGACCGATTCCAGGGAGTGGCCAGATGCATATAAAATGTACCGTTGGAAGCCTTGATAATGCCTCTAATCAAGGGAAAGCCTATCAGTGATATTCAGACCGTGTTACAGAAGGTTACATGGCGTAAACATCTCAGGCATCCTCCCGGTTGTAGACCTCGTAGCCACTAAATGATTCAATAATTATATCTCTGAGCAGGAACCAATAACATACCGCAAGTAGCCTCGTAATACACTTTAGGCCCAGGAATCTCTGGTCTCTCTCAAACCGCCGACATTTGGTACCGACGGCGTATCCTAGAAAACCCTTCCGGCCTCCTTCTCCGTGTCTGTGGGCGGCGTCACTCCATGTACCGCACCCATGTCGAAGTTTGAACTGATATGAGGAGAGATTTGCATGGATCACAAGGCAGCTCCTGCTCATGTCGCAGTAAACGTTAGGACGAGTCAAGTAGCGTGGTGGGCCTTCCGACTCTGTGACGACTCCTATCAAGGGTTTAATGGCCACACGGGAATGAATAATTGCACTACAGTTCTGCCATTTTAGCTGACAAGGTGATTATCTTATTGTAAGCATGAGATGGAAAATTGTATCGTGGATGGGGATATTAACCTTCTAATTAAGGTAGATATCCGACCGACCCTCCACATCTGCAACTTTAGAGCATCCCGCTAGTTCAAGCCTCAAGCCCAAGTCAAAGAGCGCGTAGTGGCTGGCTTCAAACAAGTCTGGTCTCCTGCAGCCAGTAGTCAGATCCATGTCGTGGTGGAGAGCAGGCAATTACCGGTTCCTCCGAACAATGAAAGCGCCATCCCCTGTCTTTTGCTGTGGATCGTCTGGTGTCTGTGAAACATGAACACGTAGTTATGTACGACACAGAAGCCGAACCAGCTCCGTAAACTACCACATAATCATCTAAAAAATTACAAGGGTGCCACAAGTCGGGCTCGTACAATGGTTCGAGAGAGTCTCATTTGTCACTGCTCTGATTGGTCGCACGAGTTGAGAAGGCGCCATTCCGACCATTGTTTGTCAGTGAGAGACCACAAATAATGCCGCATTACAAGCCATGTTGCTCACTTTCTTGGTTTTGAGGCGAAATAATAAAGAAGCCGCAAACCCGAATCCATCGCAAGTGTTGTCATTCTCGCAACCTGGCGAGCTTTCCTTCTCAAACGTCATATATAAAAGGTTGCGTTGCGGTATGTTGAGAGGTTTGGGCGCTGTTGCACGGAAAAGGCCCAACAGATCGCGAAGCCCAACAAAGGGGCTTCACCGACAAAGGACTTATTGGTTACACGAACATGTGCCCGGGTAAGAGCCCTAGGCCCGGGCGTTCCTTTCATGTATATATAGAGGTCACCTCTCCCTTCCTTCCTTGAGAAAACCAAGGCGCAGCGAAAACAATATAGAAACCGGTAATCCAGTTCAAACATGATTGTGGTCCTACTAATGGGACTAGATACTTGATACTGTCCTTTATCCTCTTGACTCCAAGCGACGAGTTCGTCAAGCCATGCAACTCCATTATCCTCACTACTGCCGTAGGAGACAATTCAAGGATCTGAAATACCCATTACATCACCTTGGCTCCCATAGCGCTCCAGATCGGTCAGTTGATGACACCTGAGAATTTATGCCCACCTTACAAGCTGTGATAGAAACAAGCCTTGGCGAATTTCACCTCTTTACTTGGGTTCTCGCTTCAGTTTTACTTGGATATTAAAGGCGATTTCTACAAAGATATAATAAATATTAACTAATTAATGTTGTGTATACCCAATCCAAAGAAAAATGCAAGCTGTTAGAACGTAGCTTGACCGCCTTCAGAAGAAGCTATATACCGGTCAACCGAAAGTACTCCTAATAAAAGCCGCGACACGCTCGGTATTCTTTCCCTTGCGCAGCATGGTAAAATGATTCGCATCCTGTATGCGTTCAATTGAAAGCGCCGGTTCACCGAGCAAAACATCCCAATTATTGCCTCCAAAGTTTGTTCGATTTTCAAGTAACCACTTCATTTCACGAGGATCGTCATCTCGATATTCTGGGCGTGCATCGGTGCCCTTGCATATGCCATCCTCAGCCCAGAGAATATATGTCATGGGCGGTGGCGTATTGCTACCGAGGGCTTTATCCCAGGGCACTGGCTTCCACTCATCCAGTGCGTCAATAAATGCAAGAAAATGCGCAAGCAGCCAATCCGGTGCCTTGCCGTCTCCAAATAGTCCCAGGCCATTGACAAAATCAAACAGCCGTGCGGGTAGCTTCTCCAGACCGATGGGGTTGGGAGAGTCGAGGAGAATAAGACGCTCGACGGTTTCGCCTTCTCGAGTAAATTGGATTGCTGCTTCGTAGGCACAAATACCTCCCGCAGACCACCCACCTAGGTTATACGGGCCGTGAGGTGCTCTGCGTCGAATTTCTTCGACGTAAAGTGTAGCAAGTCCTTTGAGGCCAAACTGCACCAGCTTTTCGGCAGACTTGAGCCAAGGGCAATTGAGACCATACACACAAACGTCTTTGCGTACCGCGTTGATGGGTGCGTACGAAAATGAGGATCCGGAGCCATCCGGAAGCAGGAACAAGGTATAAAGCGCAGACTTGGGGTTACCTTGCAGGAGAGTTGATGTTGCGCGATATTGCTTCAACTCTGCAGACGGCTCTGGTTCAATTTCATCTTCATGACCCTGTTGGAACATGTGCTTGAAGGAACTGAATTTGGGATGAGAAACGAAAAAGTCACCTTCCAAGTCAAGCTCCAACTCTTCGCGCAGACGACTGAGTACAGCCAGCGACATGAGTGAATCCATGCCCAATTCACCAAGATCAGTGTCATTTGTGATCTCGCTCATCGACACGCCAATCTCCTCTGCCAGAATAGCGCACACATCTTTGCACTGACTGCCAGACACTGAGCCTCGCGGGCTTAAAGACGGCGGAGTAGTCGCGTTGCTGGTTATCTCCCCAGTGGAATCGCTCCTGGGAGAAAGCCCACCGCAAGAACTCGACTGTCCAGAGGACTGATCAGATGAGAAAGTGTCAAATCCAAGGTGAGTGGCAAGATCGGCGAGGGTTGCGCAGGTTTCAAAAACCGACGACTCAACATCTAGATCAAGTTCCTCACGAAGCCGTCCAGAAATTGACAGAGAAAGAAGAGAGTCAACTCCGTAGTCTGCGAAAACCAGGTCATTCTGAACACTAGCCGAGGGAATACCAATCTCCTCAGACACGATCTTGAAAAGAGCCTGCATAGGATCTCTTGCAGCAGTTGCCGACTTCAAAGCCGCATCGAGCTTCAGGGGTTCAATGTTGGTATGGCGCGCGAGGCGGCCCGAATGTACTGAGGATGCGCTCCCTGGGGGTTTCGGTCTAGATTTTGCAGGGCTGGAATGGACTTGAGCCTCGTTTTGAGATTTCGGTGGTGGCATCGCAGTGTTCAGAACCTTGCGGGGAATACCTTGGAACTACGCCAGTCAGCGACAAAAAGTTTATAGTTTCATAAGAGCAGCCTTACCGTGATACCACCGCAAACACCCACGATGCCTTCATTGTCGAAGATATAAACGTCTCCGGCATAAGTAGTCCCTTCAATGCACCGCATCCTGACATATGTGCGATATGTCTTATCTTTACTGAGTTTTCTCACTGTCCTGAAAGACTGCCAGCCATGGTTGATAAACACTTGGTCTTTGGGAGTCTTTGCATGACCGTTCATTAAGAACCCAGCAAGCTGGCCGCAGCTGTCCACCCACATAGGATTGCATCTAAAATTGCCCTCGTCGACTTGGAACCGAACTAAAGCCGTAGCCTCGAAGTCTTCGGTGTTTACAATCGCCTCTTGCATGCCTTTATAAGCAGTGCTGTAGTCAACCAAGCTGGAGAAGAGCTTGTATATAACGCCCGAAGACATGCGGCTGTTGAGACCCTGATCGGCTTTCTCTTTGAGCCACTCGATGCTTCGCTCAACGTAGTATTGAGTACTGTCCCAATTCCTAAGCCAGACCTTGGGCTGCTCGAAGTGAAGGCTGGATTGGGCATGGTCGGCAGTCTTGTCTCCCTTGGAATTGACGCTGTAGATGGACATGCTTGCGGCTTTGCCATCAGTCATGTCGAGGATAACATTGATCCTTAGGAGCATAGTTGAACCCTCTTTATGGACCAGAGCTTTATTAACCACCATGTCTTGGACGTCTACGGAATGGTCCTTGAGATCCGGACGATATGTTTCCAGGATATAGAGGCCCAAGGTAACGCCAAAGTCTGTATATAATGACTGCAGAAATATTAGCAGGGAAGCACATGAGGCTGCATAGTATGAAGCCTACCGAGCTGCAAACGCGATTGCCATTGACAACGTGACCGTATACCACTTCACGCAATTGTTCACTGGTGAATTCACACTCTGCCGTAAGAGTGAGCTTTCCCTTGTCAACGGATTCGTGAACAATTCGGTGTACTGAAGCAGTTGAGAAGCTAGAAGGAGGCGCTGGCAGTGAAGCCGCAGCTTGGACGGGAGGGTCGCCTCGTGTGAGTAACCAATCGTACACATAATGAATCCAGTATACTTTGTTATCCCAGCTATAGGCTGGTAGCCGCAATACTTGTTTACACGCTTCAAAGTCATGGTGATATTCATCCCAATCGACCGGTAACCCATGGCGATACAGAGTTGCAACGCTCGAAGCCAGTACTTGCCACCCATCTTTATTGCGCATCAAAGATGGGACCGCAACAATATCTTGGTTGATATTGGCCCTGAGAAGTGTTGAGCACACTGTATGTGGGCCTATCTCAATCCAGGCCGTCTTTTCGGAGATTAAGCCATCGCCCTTGGCCGACCGCAGAATGTCACGGAAGTTGACGGTTTCCCTGCAGTGACGCTTTATGTGGTCGGCCCCAAGTGAAGATGTCTCGCCAGCAACAAAAGTCTTGCCAAGCAAGGGACATCCAATTGCCACCCTTGGGGTATGAAACTCGACTTGAGAAGCTATGGCTTCAAGCTCGTCCAGTATGGGGTCAACCTGGGCCGAATGGAATGCAAATGGAACATTAACTCTTGTGACTTTGATGCGGTTGTCCATGAGCTTCTGAGATAGTCGATCAATATCATCTATACAGCCACTAACAACAGTGTCCTGTGGACCATTGATGCAAGCAATGTCGTAAATGTCCTCATCCAAGTAGGCTTGCATCTCATCGGCACTGCTTCGAATTGCCAGCATGGTGTGGCTTCCTCGGCTGCATTTGTTCTGAAGCAACCGAGCCCTCATGGCAACTAGGTAGATGGTATCACTTGCTGTAAGAACACCCGCGACTTTCAGTGCCGCATAGTGTCCTAGACTATGACCAACCACATAGGCTGGCCGCATACCAAATGCTATCCAGAGGCTTGCAAGTGCCATCTGCACACATACGGTACCGAGTTGGACGACGAGCGGCTCAAGGTCCTCAATATCGACCGATCCATCTATAAGCGGCATGATAGAAGGGAATCCGTGACGCTGCGCTAAAATGTCGTACGAGTTGACTTCATCGCGGAATATTGTAAAGTGCAGCAAATGCCGGCCTATGGCACTATACTGAGATCCCTGGCCGCTGAACACAAAAGCGACGGGTGATTCAGAAGTACATCTGTAACTTTCGTGTTTAAGCTCTTGATCCAAAGCACTTAGCAGCTGATCAGAACTTGCAGCTGGGATCGCAACACGAAATGGGTGGTGCATCCGTCGAGCTGTGGTTGTATAAGACAGCTTGGGTAAGAAGCCTTCAATGGATGATTGTTTCTGAACAAATTTCTTTAAATTCTCCAAGTTACCCTTGAGAGATTTAACACATTTGGCAGATACTGCCACCACATGGGCCGTCCGAGAATCTTCTTGTGATGAGTCCACGGTAGGAAGTGGATAGTCTTCCACGAGCAGTGCTGTGTTGCCGCCAGCAGCAGAAAAGTTATTCACAAAGGCGCGGCGAATATTGTTAAACTCATCGCGCCTGTTCCATTGGGTGGCCGTCTTGGCTATGTGAACATTGCGTTCGTCCAAATCCGTCGGGAACTTTTGGTTAATTTTGCCCTTGATACCACAGTGAGGTGGAATTATATTTTTTTCCATCATGAGCAGAACTTTAATCAGGGCTGAAACCCCGGATGCAGATTCGGCATGGCCGACGTTTGCTTTTGTTGAGCCCAGGTGAAGACTTTCGTGAGGCAGCCGCCTTGGGTGCGTGGATGGAGCGAAGCAATTCAGAACTGACGTCATCTCGGTCGCATCGCCGGCTTGTGTTCCAGTGCCGTGCATCTCTATGTAGCTGACTTGGTGAGGGTGGACGCCGGACTCGGTAAGCAGCTTGGAAAAGATCTCCTCCTGAGCTCCGGAGTGTGGTCTCGTAATGGAAACGGAATCGGCAGAGTGGTTTGTATAAGCGCCGGAGATGATACCGAGGATAGGATCATGATCTGCGATTGCATCTTCAAGCCTCTTTAAAATAACGGTTCCAACCGCATCTGCACGACAATAGCCATCGGCTTCATCATCAAAAGTATGACAGTTGCCTGTCAATATCTTGTAAGCGTCAAGTTATCCATTGACACCTCAACATACGCACCTGTTCTTGAGAGAAAATATCCGCGATCCAGCCCTACAAAGCTGTCAGGATTCGTCATTACATTTGTACCACCCGCAATGGCTGTGTCGCACTCATTTAGCCAGATGGAATTGCAAGCCAAGTGAATAGCCGCAAGACTTGATGAGCTGTTTGCAGACAGTTATGTTAGTAGAATCCGAGTTGTCACGGATAGCATATCAAGTCTTACCACGCAGTATCAACGCTCACAGATGGACCGCAATATTTGAAGAAGTAGTTTATTTTCCCTGGTGTAAAGGCTCGATTCCCTCCTGAAGGTAGTCAGCATCAATGCTCTTCATCCCTTTGCAATCCATGGCCCGGACTTAGTGCTTACCTGGTATGAAATAAGTGTCGACATTCTGGCCGCAACTAACTTCTCTATAGTCATCGCTTGTCATACCGTAGAACACCCCAACTCGGTCTCTCTGCGTTGAGGGTGTCCTATCAGCAACAACGCCCGCCGACTCAAGAGCCTCATACGCGGTTGCTAGAGCCAATCGCTGACCAGGGTCAGATTGTTCGGCTTCTTTTGGCGAAATGTTGAAGAACTTTGCATCAAACAGCCCCGGCTCGTTGATCCAGCATCCGTGCATAACCTTGCATGTGTTTTTCCGCTTGCCAGTGACATCGTAGTATGACTCTCCGTTGAATCTATCTGGTGGTACAGGCCGATGAACATCAAGCCCTTGGTACAGAAGGTCCCAGAATGCTTCAACGTCTGCGGATTCTGGGAATCTTCCAGACATACCAATGATAGCTATCTTGGAGTCGCTTGGCTTCGGGCCAGAGGTGGACTTTGGACCGGCATTCGCTGCAACACTTTCCATAATGCAGTCGACTATAGAGACTCGGCTTGCCAAGACAGGCGAAAACGACTGTTTGAGGCTTGGACAGACGGTGGTTGAGATGGGAAACAAGACGCATTGCTGCACGTCATCTGTTGCTTCGAGAACTAGCCGTATGTTTTCAGCTGCCTCTCGCAGGTCTAATGATAGGATTAGAATGTCCTCAACGGCCCTGTAGAGCAAGTCCTGAAACTTGACGCCGTTTGGCAGATTGCAGCTAGAGGAGCTGGAAATAAATGACAGTTTGCTTGATATATTGCTGACCGGACCGACAGCGTGGATGATATGTTCGACATCTCTGGCGGAGAAAATGTGCGGCGCATGATACGGCGCATGCACAGCAAGCGGCGTTAATCTCAAAGTCTTTTCAAATTTCGAAGACTCTAGAAAGTGCTGCACAATTTCTGGCGGTCCGCTGACCGTCCATGAGTTCTGTCCCTTTGCGCTAATATATGGCAATGAGAGAGGCGGAATTTTCTATTTCCTTAGCAGATGATGACTTGTGAAGCAGCACGACAAGTTTTACTCACGGTTTTGACTTGATAAGACTCAATGGCTTCTTCAGCAAAAGCCAGTGGTAATTGTGAGTCGGGAACGGCATATGACCAAGGTGACGAAGAGGTCCCGTTGGGCTCCTGATGGCTGAACAAAGCTGCTGTCCGAGCAACCAAGAGGCCAACTTTGAGTGACACGCGAACTGCATCTATACCTGCCTGAACCAGCTCAGCTAGCGACTTCGAAGAACTAACTGCGGCTGCGGCCAATGCCCCAATACACAACCCCGAGATGTGGGTATTTGGGCCCGTTGGATATGCCTCTTGGCCGTCTCCGAAGTAGCTGTGACCTGTAAGTAGTCTTATCGCAAGAGCAGAGAGAAAGTGAGCGTCTTACTTGAGAAAGCAACATAAGTGATAGATGGTTGCCAAGGTGCTCTCTAGGGCCACGCTCTTATCCTTCTTTAGTGCTCGAGTGACAAGATTTTGTATACTAGAGAAAGCAGGGAATGATTGGCGCTCCGCCGTCGTGAGGCGAGCTATTTCATGTCTCAAGGTGAAGTTGACTTGATCGACGAAGGACGCCAAGTAGATGTTGCTTTTTTTCAGAAGCAGAAGCTGCAAATTCGATAAATTACAGCTACTCTGGTCTCCAAAAATGAAGACTCGAAATGGATCAGCTCTAGTACCGGACTGCTTGATCGTCACGTGTTCCATGTTGATCTGAACGTTGCGTCCGGTCCAACGGACTCAAGATCATTAGGTCCTTGAAGATATTAGAGCACAGATATTGATTTAATAGTTTTGTTATTTGTTTTCCTTAGAGTTGACTTAAGTACTGCAGAAAGATTACAAAATCCGCTTCCAGCGATGAGATTGCTTAAAAAGTGGCCGTAGTTAATAATCATGAGGTCACACACATACCATTCCAGGGCCAGGGAGTAGCAAGATCCGAGCGTTCGAAACTTTATTATCAGAAGACGGCAGGTTACACGTTCGAGAATAATGGCCTGGAACGTCGGTCTAACTTTGGGTTAACGCTGTTGGTGGATGCAGAAGTTACATGTCATGTCAAAAACAGTCAAATGGATCGAAATTCACAGCAGGATCGCTCAGACAACAAAGTGCAAAATAGCGCAATTCAGAATGGTCTAAGATCTGCAAGATATACTAACGTTGATTCCGGTTTTCTGTAGTTGGCTAGATCAAAGTTTCGGTTATCTGACGCAAAGTTTAGCGCAGTCCTACATTCCAAAGACTGCAGGCAGCCACGACATAAGTAAGCACACCGTTACAAGTTGGATACGATGTAGCTTAACAGCACATGCAAACTCTGTTTGCTTCAAGATGTGATTTGTTTTGCAATTACTAAAATAAACTCGCTTGAAGCTTTATCGCTACGGTTTGATTTGCATACTCCTTATTTAGGTACAAGCTTGCCATTATCTAAAAACTCTTCAAAATAGCCAATAGTCATGCTAGATAGTAGGAATAGAATTATTACCAGCCTTTTGATCGCCATGTAGAGTCATGTGAATGCAAAGGTTACTTACGTCGACTTTGAAGTGTCTGCAAACTTTTGGTGATCAGGGGCCACCTTCTCCAAGAATCGCGGGTCACTCTTCATCCGCTGAAAATCTTCCATGCGCCGGAATACGAATTGCACAATGCAATCATAGTCAGACAGCTTGGAGAATTCAGGATCGTACAGCTGGAAGAGTAATGGCCGGCTTTTACTATTGTTGTGGGTCTTGTACGGTATAAGAATCTTTCCTAGTATGTACGATTAAGAAATAAACAGCTTACCATGTTGTACCGAACAATGCCATATTCTTCCATGAGACCGCTAACCAAGGGAGCATGGATCTTAGTCATGTACTCTCGGTAGGCCGACTCGCTAAGCCCGGGTTTGCGATAGGCAGTAATGGTGAGACATAACAGCTGCTGCGATTCGGAGGAAAGCGATGCGGAGATAGCCATTCTGTCTTCTGGTTATGAAAAAGAAAAAAAAGAAAAAAGAAAAACCCTAAAATACGGTGCTGATCGGCGATGCAAAGGAGTCGGCAACTCGTACTGCTATAAATAACCCACTTGGTAGAGGAAATGTCTCGGCGTTTTGCGTGACGATAGTCGTAAAGCCGAATGCGTCGTTGTTTTTCAAGACTTCCTGATTCGGTCATACTTCGTTCCAAAGTTCTGAAGGCGTGGTTAAATTGAGTTTGTCAAATTCCCACAACCGTAGACTTTGTCTCATGCTGCAACCGGAAACAGAGCAAGAGCTTAAACAGAAAGTAGCTTCACACGTTTGTATTCAAACGCTTAGCCGTGTGACGCTACCACGCGACCGGCCTTGGTTCTGCTTATTGTTTCCGCCGTTTTCGTCTCCCGGGTGATGCGCCAATGGGAAGCACCGCAGCCAAGTCGTTCAATGTTAGATCCTATTCCAAACAGAATCGACACGCGTGACTGGAGTAAAAGACAGGAAGGCTACAAGGCTGCCCGGATTAGGAATGTCTTTGGAATATCTCGAGTCGCTAACGAAAGCGTTCATTCTGCATGCCAGCATCGCTGTTATCGTCACTTTTGCATGCCAGTATTGCCTTAGCGTACGAATATCACCATGGCTTTCCTCCCGATCGATCAATCTCTTTCAAAATAATTTCTTACTCTAAAGCGTGTGCATTTTACGCCTGCTGGTTATTTCACCTACGTTTTGCGCCATTTGAAAAGCATTGTCTTCAGTCATTACAGCATTGCCAGTCTCAGGTCGATGATTTGAAGTGCTTCAATTAAACATTCGTTTTCTACCGCATTGTCGCCATCGTTATTATGAGCAGCTCCGTTCGTCTGCTACTAATAGTGGCTTTATTGTACACTAACTCTTGGGCAAAAACGGTCAAAGAGACGCTGCGCATTACGTGGGAGGAGGGCGCTCCAAATGGACAAGCAAGAGAGCTCATTTACACGAATGGACAATTTCCTGGCCCACCGCTTATTTGGGACGAAGGAGATGATGTTGAAGTGAGTGTTTTCTTGTCCAGGTTGGTTCATGTGTTGATACTAACGCCCAGGCACCTCATAGGTAACCGTTTGGAATGAAATGGCTAAAAATGTCACTGTACATTGGCATGGCCTCGAGTAAGTTATTTCCTTTCTGCAAATTAGAGTATGCCCCTAATGCTGACCACTTGGTCCAGGCAAAAAGACAGTCCTTGGTCTGATGGCACGCCCGGTCTCAGCCAACGACCCATCCAGCCCGGGCAAAGTTTTGTATACAAGTTCAAGGCTTCTCCTCCTGGAAATCACTGGTACCACTCTCACGAGAAAATGTCTCTCGTTGATGGGCTTTATGGAGCAATTCACATTCGGTTAGTTTACCAGCATCTCAAGATGTTTTACGTTCGTGATGCTAAGTGCAAGCACATAGGCCGAAGGAAGATCGCACGGGATTGTGGAGTCAAATAAGCCAGGATAAAGAAGACATCAAAGCTATGGAAAAGGCTGCACGCGATCCCGAGTATCTGGTCGTGTCGGATTGGAGCCAGTATACCTCGGAAGAATACTGGAAGATGTCTACTGATTCGGGCCTTCTCGTATTGTACGCTTACATTGCCCCCAGCTCATTTTTACTTTGCATCTAACACGTTGAAAAGTTGTCTCGATAGCATTTTGGTCAACGGCAAAGGCGAGGTTTACTGCCCGGGTCAGGAATTTCTTCAAAAGGAGCTCGCTCCAGGTCTGGTTCAGGACGCTTTCCCACCAGGCACCGAGGTCTCAGACAAAGGGTATGGCATTTGACGTCCAAATCACTACTTCCTTTTATAATGGCATTGGTACTGACGCGCATCTGGCTAGATGTTTCCCAGCAGATCTTGACCAAGTCCAAGGTGGCCCCTGGAACATCACCAAACGCCCAGATCTCATACCACCACGCGTTCAGGAAGGCTGTGTTGCGTCCAAGCACGAGAATGAGACTATCGTCGTTGACCCACATAGAAACAACGGCTGGGTTAGTATGCATATCGTAGCTGCCGCCACGATCGCTCAGATTGCCTTTTCCGTGGATTCTCACGAATTTTGGCTGTACGAGATTGATGGCAACTACGTCAACCCCAAAAAGTTTGTCTCGGCAGTCATGTCCGCCGGTGAGACCTTCTCGATTATGATGAAACTAGATCAAGAGCCGGGAAGATATACAATGCGCGTACCCAACTCTGGGGCTTCGCAGGTACTAGGGGCCTTTGCCGAAATGGTTTACGAAGGACACGAGCGTGCGGAGAAATCGGGGAGGGCATACCTGTCTTATGGAGGCAACCCGACTTCACCAGATGTCGAGAAGAATTCATTCTTTCCATGGCAACTGGATACAGATCACATGTCGCCGTGGCCTGCCAATAAGCCCCGACCTGGCAAGGCTGACGAAGAGCATCTTCTGGTGCTTGGCCGCGTTGGCGCTCCCTACAAGTACACCATGAACACCAAGTACTTATACCCCGTCGATTTTCAAAACAATGATCCTCTATTATTTTATCCCGACGCAACCTGTGGTACCGAGAATGATGGCCTGGTGCTTCGCACCAAAAACGGGTCTTGGGTTGATCTCATTCTGCAAGTTTCTACCCTACCTGGAGATACATCATCATTTGAGCATTTTATGCATAAACACGGCAGCAAAACTTGGAGAATTGGTTTCGGAACTGGTGTCTGGAATTATACCAGCGTAGAAGAGGCTATTCAAGAACGGCCCCAGGATTTCAACTTGGAGACCCCTGGCTTGCGCGATACGTGGATCACAGCATTCTCAATCGGTGGCGAGGCATACTGGAGCGTTTTCAGGTACTATGTGGATAACCCGGGACCATGGCTATTTCATTGTCACATTGAGCTTCATTTGATGGGTGGCATGGGCATTGCAATCTTGGATGGTGTGGATGCATGGCCTGAGCATATTCCAGAAGAATATCGACTGGATTAGCATTTGCATCTGGCAAACATGGCAACAATCATTAGCATTCGGAGATATACTTTTAATAGTTCGCTAATCCATTTCTTTTCGGGGCAAGTTATACAGGCGTAGGATGCGATGAAGAAGCTTGAAGTCCCGCCATAATGTATTCTCCCATATTATTTAAAAATTGCCTCGTAAGGCTGAGCACAGCAGGGGTTGTTGGCTGCAGGTACGTAATATCCGATAATATAGGTAAGCATGGATTAACAGTTAATGGGCCAAAACGTACGTATATACTTGCTACTGCTTACGAGGACGGATAAACCGCAGCAAGTAATATAACCCATTAGTGACATATGATGCTGGACCCGGCGTTTGTCTCTCCGCGTTCTGCAAATTGTGGACATTCACTTGAATCTCCGCATTAGGTATAATGCTTGACTTCACAACGCACTGGGCATTGATGACTGCGCAACCTCGGTCAACTAAATTTTGTGGCACCGGTCTGTGAGCAACGATTCCGCGTGGTTATCGAGTAGGCCGGAGCTCACACAGCGTCCTAATGAAGTTAAGGGTGTGGGAATAGCTCCGGTTTCGTAACCATCTTGAGATCAGGCGAGCTGCCGAAAGTGGCAAGGGGTGGTACCCTAAAAGTGTCAAGATACTTGCTGCACCAAATAGGACGCAGATGTGGCCAGATTTGAGGGTGCCTGTGGTCGATCCGGCGCTGTAATGGCGGTCCGGCCGTAAGGAAATGTTACACGCTTGGGAGGCCAACAGAGAAGACAACAGGAAGTTACACAAGGAGGTTACGAGGGCGGTGAGAGGCGGAAGGCCCCTTTATTCCTTCAATGTATATATAGAGGTCCTCTGGTCCCTCTGGTCCTTCTTGTACTAAGTACGTTTGATATCCTACAAGGTTATCATTGAATTGAGTCTTTTGCTCCAGGCCCGTGAACCCAAGCCCTTGTCACAGGCAAAGAGTAAATGGGCCGGCTCTCCAGCCGATGGGCGAGTTGAGGGGTGAGTAAACCGGTATTTAGGTGAAAGCTGGCAAGGTAGAATGAAACAAGTATAGTGGGCTATGCAGGCCAAGGCGAAAGCGGTCCGGTTTGTATTGGGGGCCTGACAAACGTCCGTGATTGTGAGGTAGCAAGACTTTATCGCCATGGTGGACAGATATAAGATAGAGTGGGGGACGAGGTAGACGCCATTTGGCTGATGAAAGGCTCGTCTGGGAGAATACGAAGCACAAGTGGGCCAGGCCTAGCACCATCATGCCGGCTGTGGCGGAGACTGTGATGCTTCAAGTATATGAATCAAATCAGACGGAAATTACGGAGATGATGCTTACGGCAACGTTAACGGGTACGTCATACCATCCCACCGCCACTCGGGCATGGTGATGATGGCGTTGATTGCCATTCTTTCCGCCGGATACGCGTCGTAAGCTAGTTACGAAATGTCTAGACGATACGTTGCAGATGAGGGGGCGAGTCATGACCCTCAAAGTTTAAACTTGAACAAGTGCTCAAGAGGACACAAATATGCTGGCAGATGTCAGGAATATCCCACGCAAAGCAATGGTTGCCTAAGCTCGGTTCGATAAAATAATCTCTGGGACTGTCTTCAAGGGGTCGATTAGAGCTTACGCACAGAACTGCATGTGCTGTCTGTTGTTTTAAGCTGCAACCACAACCGAGCTATCTTTCCCCTCACCCAAATAAAGGCACAAAAGGGAGTAGCGAAGGCTAAAATTTGCATGTCGGCTCGAACTCATGCAAGTTTCCCCGTTATCCTAACATGTCGTCGTTTGTATATTATGCGAATTTGTCTGCTGGGGATACCTCGCTCTAGAAATACATTGGGGCGGGGCTGGTGGAATGAATGACAATGTTGCATGTCTTGATATGGACAAGATTATTGAGCCTTGGCGTACTAGACGTATGTAGGGTATGCGCTCTGACCGGATGCATACGTATAAGGGGCAGGCTATATTGAACCTGGAGAAGGGACAGCTTGGGCTCTCACCTTTGATGGATGCAGAAAGCGGACAAGTCACCACGTATGACTACCTGCCAGGCGACAATGCAGACATGGAGTCATTTGCAACCGCCCGTCACACTGGGAAGCGGGTCCTTGAATTTGTACTCGCTTAGCACGTTATTCATCCTTGGCCCTGCATCTCATGTCAGGCGTGAATGGCTCGTCCGCCGACAACATGACACCCTTTGGATCGAGCTTCGTAGTTCCATGGTGTTATCAGCCATGGTATGGAATGTCGTCCTGGTACACGGAGCCACAGCAAGTCAGGCCACAATCAAAGCTTCTGGGAAAGGCAACAAGTAAAGTCCCTGTCAGCTTACACCGCGAGTAGATACGCAATCGTAATGGAGCCCCGTCCTCGAGTCGTGTGAGAGAAATGGCGGCGGCATATAATATGGCATGACGGAAACAATCTTTTACAATGCATTTCCATAATCCCAGGCCCAGCAGCACAGTGTGGCGCCTCAAATTTGTATGTGCGACATGTACGGAGTACTCCATGACTACTCAGATATATTACCGACTGTTGGGGACCATGGACATTAATTTCATGCGAACCCTTCAATCAAATAGTGGCTCCCCCCCAGCACCCAGCCCTTGCAGAGTGAATCGTATTAATCCATCAGGGTGTGTCGGCCAGAGGCCACCACCATACAAGGTTGTGACTCGGTCATGTAGACTGGACCCTGTCCGGTAAGACCCTATCCGGTATATGTCGAATAACCCTGTCTTAAGGCAGCATGTACCTCAATGGGTATCAATCGATTTCCCAGCCTCTTTCCGTGACTGGGAGTTGGGGGCAATAGCTGCGCATGGTCATAATCTCATGCATCTTGGCCGTTGCGATGATGCGTCAATCCAATGTGATTTTCATATCGACCTGTGCGCCCCAGAGGGTGAAGAATAGGTATAAAAAGTCGTGGGTAGCTCGCTAGGACTTTATCCTAATTCATCGTCGCTCTCATCTTCGCCTTCGACCAAAGAGCTTCGGACGGCCCTCATTATGAAGTCCCTTCATGGCCTCGTTGGCCTCCTTTTGTCGGCAAGCCTGGCATCAACAGGGCTTGTTCCTAGAGACGCTGGCATCCCCATTTTCAATCAGGATTCCGAGAGCGCTGTGCCTGGAAATTTTTTGGTTGCTTTCAAGGCAGCTTAAGCGAAGATGTGATCAATGCTGCTCAAGATGAGATCGGTAACACAATCAGGAAACGCAACGTCGGCAAGCGCAGCACTGATAACCGACCACTCTCTCAGGAGGTCATTTCCTTTAGGATTGACGACGAGTCACGCGGCATAATCATTGACGCCGATGATGCTACAATCCAGACCTTGCTCATGTCTAACGAAATCGCCACTATCGAGGCCAACACACGTGGTTCACTCGATGCCAAGGTCTCCCAGTCGGATGCTCCCGGTAACCTTGTCCGCCTCTCGAAGAACCTGATTGATTGCGTGTCGAATTACGACTATGATGAATCAGGTGGTGAAGGAATCACAGTCTACGTGCTCGATGGAGGCATTCGGCTCACGCATCAAGAGTTCAAAGGGCGTGCTACTTTTGGCGCCAGGTTTTCAAAATCTACCAGTGTAAGCGAATAATCCAGAAAAAGAATAATCGGATTGGCATAACCAAGCATACAGGAAGAGGACCAAGATGGCCACGGAACCCATGTCTCCGGTATCATCGGCGGCGTAAAGTTTGGCGTCGCCAAGAAGGTGAAGCTCGTAGCTGTCAAACTGGACCCTGAGGCATCACAAATGATACAGGCGTTGGAATTTGTGCTCGCGGACGTCAAAAAGAAGGGCATCCAAGGAAAAGCCGTTATTAGCATGTCAATGCACGTCGACGGCTCCGAAATCGTCGACAAGAAGTTTAAACACCTCGTTGACTCGGGAGTCGTGGTGGTCGTTAGTGCTGGCAACGGAAATGTAGTTTTTGTCCTCCTGTTTGCCCCTCTAAATTATTCATGCAAAAATCTAGTAGCAGGAGGCTAACTTCTCTAAACTTGTAGATGGATGCCGGTCAGTTCTCTCCCGGAAGGGATCCCAGCGTCATTACGGTTGCAGCAATGGATCACAGGAATGACTTCCACTGGTCAAAATCAAACTACGGTCCCTCAGTTACCATCTACGCTCCTGGCGTTGGTATCGAGAGTTCGTACTTCCGCTCCGATACTGCCACTAGATATCTCAATGGCACAAGCCAGGGTGCGTGCTTACTCCATATACGTGATTGGCAGTTTCAAGAGGCTAACTTTGACTATGATAGCTACGCCTCATGTTGCTGGCCTAGCTGCATACATCATGGCACTCGAGGGCATCACGCAGCCGGCCAAGGTTATGTCACGTCTGAGAGAGCTTGCGGACGACACGGGAGCTCGGGTTCAGTGGACGGCCCCAAACACGACCAGCCTTATTGCAACCAACGGACTGGCAGGTAAACTGGATCCTGCCATTGCAAACAAGGTCAAGAAGTTCCCTTGGATATCCTCTGTCATCCAGTCGTGGAACTGTGGCATCCCGGATTATAGCGATGAGGATTGCGGCACCTTGGTCTACTGTAATTCTTACGACGAATGGCCTGAAACCCCCAAGAGAGGCTTCTTCAAAAGCGCCCAGGAATGCTTCGATGCCCATGAACCGGCACCCATCCTACCCTGGATTGAAAAGCCAACGACAGTCCGTCCCGAGTCTTGCAGCGGCGAGATTATCAGTGAGGGCGTCTTGGGCTATGGCGAGAGGGTGTGTGGTACCAAATTGTTCTGTGAGGCGTTTGACCTAGACCCGAAACCCGAGGGATACAAGAATGCAAAGGCCTGTTTCGACGCTCACGAGCCTCAACCCTCTGCGAACAAAACCACGCCCGCCGTTGCAGCATAGGCGGTTGCGACGTCGCCTGGGCAGTACAGCATCACCGCTTCCTTGACGACTAGGAGCGTTAGGAAAGTCGTGTTAACTTCTTCAACCCTATTTTGATGCAACACTTGGTCAAGGATAGGAACTAGACTCTCCGTCTTTAGGTTGCTTGTTGTAGCACTGCAATATAACTATGGCAACGCTTCAGGTTTAGGGTGATTGGGGCAACATATAAACTCTTGCTATATTCCCTTGTGTGGAGCTTGCTTGAAGCCTTTCTTTGGGGTAAAAGAATGTGACTGTACCTATCAGGTCCCTGCATCTCAGAAGCACTGCGATAATGTCGATATTGACTTTGATCGGCTCACCCTGACCTAATATTCCCCATAGAGCAAACTCGGCGTCGATCATAACGCTTGCAAAACATGTTGGCTGTGTTGTTCCACCAGCTATTCTCATTTGTGGACATATATTTGCTTTGAGTCTAAGATGAAATTTTCTAGGCTGCCTTGCTCCATGGAATCTTGCACCATGAAAGCATTTGATACCCATGTAATGCGCTAAGAGGCGATTGCCTCTCGAATGCTGCCAGTCTACTCGTACCTGAAGAAGCCACCAAATAATAACGCCCAAAAATATCGTCATGTAAAATTGAAGAAGAACTACAAGGACATGGACCGGACCGAGGGCATTCTAGTCAAACGTAATTTTTGTCGCCTTTTGTGTCATGTCTACATCCTTGAAGAATGACCCGTACATGTCATGAGTCTTCTTCTTGACAGTCGTGCCGAACTTGAGCAGCTCGTCGGGAACGGGCTGATTGGCGCCCTTGAGAATGTTGACCAGGCTGCACAAGTACCAGTCAGAAAAAGAATTGGCAAAGAATTGCGCCGCAGTCAGAACTTACGAGCCAGAATGTGCCTTGTCCTGGACTGTAAATAGGGTGTGTGCCTCGCCGGTGTTACCAGCCCGGCCGGTACGACCGATTCGGTGAACATAATCCTCAATCGTTAAAGGGAACTAGTCGTCACAGTTAGCAATCGTCCGTGCACTTCGAAGACGATTTAGTTAGTCAACGCACAGTAACGTTTATCACCAGCTTGACTTCGGGAATATCTAATCCACGCGCAGCAACGTCGGTTGCGACGAGCACAGGGGTCTGGCCAGTCTTGAAGGCTTCCAAGCTTCGTGTTCGCTGCTCTTGCTTCAAATCACCATGTATGCCACCAACTCGAATGCCCTTGCGGCTGAGGAAGTTTTCTACACGAGTAGCTTCCTTCTTGTACAGGCAAAAAACCAGGATACGGTCGTTCTTCTGCTTGCCCTGCTGATGCTGTTTCAAAATCTGGAGCAAGCGAAACTCCTTGTCCTTGGGGTCAACGACTTCCACTTTTTGGGTAATTCGGGTGTTGGCTTGCAGCTCTACAGAGCCATTCTCGGTTTCTTTGCCACCTGAACCAATGGTGATTTTGACGGGGTCAACCATGAAAGTAGAAGCCAAAGCTTGAACCGACTGCGGCCAGGTGGCAGTAAACATGAGGGTCTGTCTCCTCTCCCGGGCGAGGCAAGCACCCAGAATTTGTTTGATGTCGTCCTCGAAACCCTTGTCGAGCATGCGATCAGCCTCGTCCAGAACGGCGAATTGACAGTCACTCAAATCGACTGTACCATCAGACATGAAGTCTTTCAAGCGGCCAGGAGTGGCCACAATAATGTCGGCACCTCGATTTACCATTGCCCGTTGTTCGTCCTTTGATGAGCCTCCGTACAAGCAAACGCACTTCAACTTGGCCAATGCGGCCAAGGAAGCCAGCTGCGTATGCGTCTGCATAGCTAGCTCACGGGTAGGCGAGATAACGACTGCCTTGGTACCCTTTTTGCCAATGGCGGAAACGGACTCGACGCAAGGCAAAGCAAATGCCATAGTCTTGCCGGAGCCCGTCTCTGCAACGCCGACAACATCTCGGCCGGACAGCGTGGAGGGCCAGGACGCAGCCTGGATGGGGGTGGGAGCCTTGAAGTTTGCAAAGGGCGACGGGGTCTTCTCGAGCAAGTTCGTCGAGGGAAGGTGGTGGAATTCAATGACTGGCCGAAGGGATGATGTCTCGCCCCTAGGATCGGTAATAGTAATCTGGTTCGTCGACATGAAGGTATCGACATCGTCTTGGGGAACATTGGATAGGCTGATTGTTTGGACATATGACCCAGAGATGGGTGCCCTTTCACTACTCAGGTCTTTCTCGTTCTTCTCGGCCTCGCTCGATTCCTCGGCGGGCGCTTTGGTCGGAACATTCTCTTGTAATTCTTGCGCCTCCTTCAGCTTTCTTTCCTTCTTCTCCTTCTTCTTGGCCTTCTTTTCGGCTTTGCGCTGTATCTCAAGGTCCCTGTCCTTTGCATCGTCAGTGACGACGTCGGCCTTTTCTGATTTGCCCTTCTTTTCCTTCTTGTCCTTCTTGTCCTTCTCCACCTTCTTCTCCTTCTTCTCCTTCTTTATCCGCGCTTCGGATGCGTCGTTGCCATCGTGAATCTTGGTCTTTTTGCTGGGACGTACCGACTCGTCCTCTGCGAGGGCGTGTTTTGTGGCAGCCATTGCAATTGAAAAGAATGGCTTGAAAATATCGTCGGGCAAAGGGGGAACCGTGGGTTATGCTGAGACGGGACCAGCCTTGACGGCAAACAGATGATTGGGCTGGGAAAAAAATTATCTTATCGATAAAAGACAGACCCGTCCAATGACCGTTGCGTGTGAGGGGCTTATGTGGGTCCGACTGCAAGGTCGCCCCGAAGCGTGTGCGGGCAAAAGGAATCAAATCATTGATAGCACTTGAGCGCACTGGAGGCCTGAAAAGATCTGTTCAGGCTGTCGGACAACAAAGGCCTGCACAGTGGAACGGTTGGTCCAATATACAGGAGCTGGCAGCGGAATTTACGCACTTGTTGGACAGGTATGCCTCCTGCTCCTTTCCATTCTGCACGACTTCAGCCCGCTTAATGTGGAGTTGCATCGGGTACTCGTGCCACGCCCCACCATTAGGTAATTCAGCTACAGAAGCTCTCACCACCTAATTACCTAATGGTGGGGCGTGGCACGAGTACCCGATGCAACTCCACATTAAGCGGGCTGAAGTCGCGCAG